AATGCTGGAAAAACAACAATGACAACTATTGGGCTAAAGGGAATTTTGTTTCATGATACAAATGGTAGAAGGGTGAAGAAAACAAGACAAAAGGAAAAGATCAACAGAAGTATAAGGAACAGGGATAAATACATTTCTTGCTTTGGCCTTTCATTAACTAATTTATTTCATTAAAGTCTTATCAGGGGATAAGAGTCAGGATTCTTCATTCACTTGTAAAAATTGATAAAACCTAACTCCCAATGGTCAGCAGCATCTGCAATTCTCAAAAATTAAGTAGGTCCTAAGGAAGCACTTTCTGAAACAAGTCTTCTAGCACAGAACCACTGCGAGAGCTGCATGCAAAGAAAAGGGTTCGGTGGTGGGATACATTTAGAATGCTGCACATGACATTGATAAACAGAACAACAGTGAGGCTCTGCAGAGTCCTGCAGAGAAGATTTGTTCAACTCACTTTTTTTATTGTCTAAAGTTTTTCATATGTCTTCTTTTTCTCCAGTTGACTCCGATCCCACTGCCATTGCCACTCTGGGCAAGCCCTTTTTTTTTTTTTTTTTTTTTTTTTTTAATTTTTTTACAGCGAGGAAGGGAGAGAGATAGGGAGCTAGAAACATCGATGAGAGAGAAACATCGACCAGCTGCCTCTTGCACACCCCCTACCAGGGATGTGCCCACAACCTACATACATGCCCTTGACCGGAATCGAACCTGGGACCTTTCAGTCTGCAGACCGACACTCTACCACTGAGCCTAACCAGCTTTGGCTGAGCAAGCCTTTTTAAACTTGTTTTTCAAACCTACATAACCACATAATGTTTTTTTTCACTCCACATCTTATTATCCTGTAGAATCAGTAAAAAGAGTATGAGCTCAACATAAGAAAACCTGGCCTTGAGCTTTTGCTCCAACATTTACTAGGATAGCTTACTTAATAATGACCTTGAGCCTTGGTTTTTCCATCTATAAAATGGGTTTAATAATATAAAGTGCTTACCACAACATCTGACATGCAGTAAATGTTGAGTACTACCGGTAGTTATTAGTATAATATTCTACAGACGATATTCTGAGAAACTTAAGATCATCTTAAAGTTTCCATCAGATTATTAATATTAAGTATATGTAATTTAAATTATGCCAAATCATTTATAACACCCAGAAAAAAATATTTTTCTAATTTAAAAAAATGCCTACCCACTTCCTTTCAGTGAAGCCATTTCTAATCAAACCAAGAAAGGTTAGAAGACAGTCACATCATGTCAAGGCCAGCGAATAAGTGTCACATCAGCAACTGAATATACAAGAATACAAATGGGTCTTGGATCAAAGATAACCATTGTCTTAGTCTGTTCGAGCTGCTATAACAAAAATGGCATAGACTGGGTGGCTTAGGCAATGGATATGTATTTCTCGAAGTTCTGGAGGCTGGGAAGTCCAAATCAAGTGCCAGCAGATTTGGTATCTAGTGAGGACCCACTTCCTCCTTCATTGAAGACTGTCTTCTGCTGTCTCCTTACCTGGCAGAAGAGGTGAGGGAGCTCTCTAGAGGCCCTTTTATAAGGGCACTAATCTCATTCACGGGGGCTCCACCTTCAGGACCTAGTCACCTCCCAAAAGCCCCACCTCCCAGTACCATCACAAATGGGATTTGGTTGCAACATATAAATGTGCGGGGGACACAAATAGCTGGACCATAGCAACCATTTCCAAGATGAAGCTGCCTTTGGGGAGACAGAACTTTCTCTGGCCAGTAAGACTGAGCTCACACCAAATATTGTACTACAGCAGGACGGGTGAGACCCGGTTTTCATGCCCTGGACCATCTCATTCAAAGGAAAAACCTTTCCATTACATACCCTGCCAGCTCTAATCATGTTCTAAGGACCCTGCTAACTCCTTATCTCTCCCTTTATCCATAAGACTTTCAGGAAAATAATCTGAAATCTAATTCATACTACGGGGTTACTGCTCCAAGTCATTTACATTTGCACTCTAACATCCTTCAAAATCTTACGTCTGAGCATAGCTCGAAAAGTGGGATGTCAAGAGCTTACTAAGAAACCGTGAATGCAGAGTCCTTCCTGGGAGGGCTCCTAAATTTACTTATGTGGGAAGTAGATTCTCTGAACTCGGCCTTGTGTCTCCTCTTGCTGTATTAATGCATTCAAGGGTCAGTACAAGTCCTTTATACCCACCCCCTTCTTGTCATTTCTTGCCCATTATTTAAGCTGCATCCATGTTTTTCTCTGACCATTCTCCGCACATATTACATTAAGCTGGGTAACCTCCCTGAACCAGATATCATCTGGTGCTAAGTCTGGGCTTCCAGGAGACAGTGCCACCATCTACATATAATTAACGTCAGCTTATCTCCCCAACAGGAGCTCATTGCCAGTCATCGCCTGTCTTTCAGAGGGAGCACAGCCCCACCCCTTTGGCACACACTGCCCCCCGAGTGTGAGCACCTTCTCTCCACAACGAAAAGTCTTGTTCACTGATGTATCCCCAGGGCCTAAGCACAGTGCCTGGAACCTCTGTTAACAAGCATCAGCAAATGCTTCTTTTTTTAGATTTATTTTTATTTATTTTTTATTGATTTCAGAAAAGAAGGGAGCGGAAAAGACAGGTGGAAACATCAATGATGAGAATCACTGGTCAGCTGCCTCCTATATGCCCTTTACTCAGGAACGAGCTTGCAATCCGGGCATGTGCCCAGACCAGAACTGAACCCTGACCTCCTGGTTCATAGGCTGATGCTCATCCACTGAGCCACGCCGACTGGGAAGCAAGTGCTTCTTAAATGAGTAAATGATGAATGAACAGATAACGTTTCCATTCTCACTCCACCTGTGGCCCACAGAGCTAGGCCAATCCTGAAGTCTGATGCTCTGAAGCTGTGGCTCTGAAACTTGTTCTCTGGTCTAAGACGACAGAGAGAAAGTGTAGTGTTTCATCCCCAGCATTGCAATGCTAGAAATCAATTACAAATGGCTCCCATTCATCAACGATGCCCAAGGTCTTCTGATAATTGTCCAGTGACTAAAAACCTTTTCTGGAACATATTTCCCATGAACATTTCAAGACATTATTTTGGTTGCATCACTAAAATTATGGCTTAACCTATATTGAAATAAAGCTATAACATACCCATGTATCATATTCTTTTGTTTTTCACCCAATAGAAGAGAGAGCTAGCTGCCCAGTTTTGATATATTATTGCCAGTGATACTATGGAAAGTATGATACTCATGCTGGCACCAGTCGGCAGTGTTTCTTTTTTAAGTGTGAAATTGTCCTATCGTTAAATTTTAAAAAAAAATTAGTTCCAGCTTCATTTTCAAGTCCCCTGTTCACTGACTGTACTAAGGCCAACAAAATTCATTGCTTTGGTATTTAAATGGCAAATATGGTATTAAAATGTCACCCATATGGTTGGTTCCCGGGCTCATATTTCAGTGACCTAATGCAGTTTGTGATTCTAGTTTCTTAAACGCTCTGTCTCACTTTACCCTTCATTATAGATACGATACTATTCAAAGTAATACTACGAAGAAATCTTCCCATCAAAACTTTATAGAACTTTATTGGCAGCAATCTGGCCCATGAAAGGTTTGTGAGGTGCCTCGAAGTGAACTGTAATGGTCTGCAAATTGTCCTGTCACTTAGGAATATGGCAGCTGTGGTGATGAGAAGTGTTGGAATTGATCTTAGGAGTTTCTCCTCCCCAGACTCATTTTATTATTAACTAGAAGCCGGGTGCATGAAATTAATGCACTGGGGGGTGGGGGATGGGGAGTCCCCTCAGCCCAGCCTATGCCTTCTTGCAGTCCGGGAGCCCTCGGGGGATGTCTGATGCAGGGAGCAGGCTAAGCCGGCAGTTGGTCTTCCTTAGTGTCGCCATGGAGGCAGGAGAGGCTCCTGCCACTGCCACTGCACTTGCCAGCCATGAGCCAGGCTCAGGGCTTCTGGCTGAGCAGTGCTCCCTCTGTGGGAGCACACCAACCACCAGGGGGCAGCCCCTGCATTGAGTGTCTGCCCTCTGGTATTCAGTGCAAGTCATCTCTGGTGGTCAGTGCGTGTCATAGTGACCCATCATTCTGAAATTTGGTCTATTTGCATATCAGCCTTTTTTATATAGGATGATCCTAGGGTCATAGATTCAGTAGGTATTTGTGAAAAGACTAACTCACGGTGGATGACATGACTGAGTTTCATTCTCCTGTGCAGCTCATCACACTTCTATCATAGCCTGGCATAGCTCTCTTTATTGCAGTTATACTCCCCCCCAAAAAAATAGCATATTTAATCTCTTCAGTTAATATGTCGCATTTTCTCTTTTAAATTTACTGTAGGACTCCATTTTTCTTTCCTCCACCATATCTGCTCTCTATGACAGGGAAATCACCAAGGAATGCAACTGGACATGACATTACTCTCCACTGGAGCTGGAATCCTGTCCACAACCATATCCCTAGAGTATGTGTTGTATCTGACACACAGGAAGTACCAGCAAATGAGTATTGGTGAATATATGAATGAATGAATGAATGAATCAGTAAATAAAAGAATTGATGCTACGGGCTGTGGAGGAACAAAAGAAAACAGGTAAGAATATTATTCCAAAATAAAAGGCCTTGAAAGAAGACTTGTATGGTACATTGAACAGGCTCCTTATCTATAAAACTGAAGATATCTGGATTCTTTTGAAGCAGCAACTGAAATAACTAAGTGAAAGCTGCATGAGAATGGTAAAGTACTACTCAGAGAGAGTTTCTTGAATGTGACAACAATGAATTGTGAGCAACATGAACTAAAGCCAGCAATTGAGCTACAGCATGGAATTGCAGCAGTCACAGCCTTAACCCAGACAGGTTGGTATTATCCACTGAACGAGCTCCGCCCTGCTCCGGGCCCACAGAATGGAGGTGGGTGAAAGGCATGGCTGGCCTTGGAATCTGGAAGGAAAGCATTTTATAGCGAAGAACCTACAGACACAGAAGCACTTTTTTTTTCCTTAGTTTTATTATTCACTATTAAACCAATGATACAGAAGCTAATATTTATCCAGATTATGAAGTAACAGCTTTTCATTTTTCAAAGTCACCAAGGTTAAGGAGCATACCCAGGTGAAAGGAGCATAGGTCCGCCTCCTTTGGTTTTGTGGATTTTTTCCAAAAATTATCCTAGACCACCCACCATTTCCTGTTGTGGTTTTATTCAAATCAGAGACTTGAGAAATGGTACGTGGCCAGACAGGGGATGGAGCAAACACACTGAATACAGGTGGCCTTTCTCCAGATCAGGGCATGAACTTCCACATTCAACTCCAAAAAGAAAATCCTGGTATGTAAGCATCCTCTTTACTTAGTGAGATGTAAGCATTCTCTTACTTAGTGAGATGTTAGAAACGACCTTTCGACGTGTAGCTAAAGGTAACTGTTGGCATGGTTTTACTATCCAGCGACTATTCCAGGGATGCATGTACTGTGTAAATCGAGGCACAACTGTGAGATTTTGTGTTCAACACTTTCCCAGAGCCGTCCACCATTTAGAGAATCACATCCAGTGACATCACTGCGTGGAATGTTGCCAGAACAACACACACTGATCTGCCCTGGGAGCTTGCGATTCCACACAGGGTGAGAGCATCTGATGACTTCAGTCTATCTTCCAGATGGACACACCCAAGCTTTGCTATTAAATACATTTTATTATTTTAAAGAGTGTCTTTCCTTTTAACTAAGTCCTATTACAGTTAGGGTATTCTATTCATTGTTTAAAAAATATATATATATATCTAATATCATGTTGATCCTATTATTGAATAACTTTGAATTTCATTTCAGAATTGCGGGGGGGGAATTTGTTTAAAAGTGGAGGTACACTGTCTCTGGGAGGGTGGAGGAAACCACTAATCTCATCCAGCCTTCTCCCTCTACAGGGAGCAAAGGCTCAGAGAGGTGAAGTAACTTGCTCAAGGCCACAAAGCCAGCTAATGACCAAGCGGAACTAAAGTCGCCCAGCACCGAGTTCTCCTTCTAGCACCCGGCATGGCTCCGAGGCGCTAACCACACCAATACTCAGCGTGGGGCAATCAGCTCACCCTGCAGGGCGGGTTGGTGGCAGTAGACCCAGGGGCAGCACTGAGCAGTCTCACCTGAACCAGGTGCCGGATTTGGCCCTGAGCTGATGCAAGCTGAGCTGTGGCCAATTCAGAGTTTCTGTCTAAAAGACTCTTGGCGAAAGCAACCATTTGTCAGGTTTGTGTTCAAGGCCGGTGTCAAAGTAAAAAATAAAATAAACAAAAAGCCTAAAACGACTATTACTTATCTTGAAAAGCCACATTCCATTTTTATCTTGAACTTGCAACAGTACTTCACAGTGAAGAAATTGAGGAATATACGTTTAGTTTAAAACCAGTAAATGGTGTTCCTAAGTTTTAGGCCTTGAGTTTAGGTATTTGGGAGGCCTGAATTTGTAGCCAAGTAGGTGGAATAGGGAAAAGACATGGCCCAGGTAGCTTTTATATTTAACACCTATATTAAAGCTGCATGAAACATTCCCAGGAGATAAGCATAATGGAATAAACTTTTATCTCAATGCTGCCTTCTGTCCAAATCACTGCTCTGCACTTATGAAGCAAGAAAATTCTCTCAACTCAGTAGCTTCAACCTACAGTACTCAGCTCAGCCAAACTGGGCACCCACAGTAAGAAAACAGAACCAAGCCAATGAGTGACCTACAGCCTGGTCACTCACCATCATCTGTATTTAGCCTAAAGTCACCATTCTGGCCACAGGTTCCCCAATCTGAGATGAGGGCTGTCTTCCAAACCTCAGAAGTAAAGTAAAACACCCAATTTTTGTTTTCGAGCTAAAGCTAACGTTATCCGTGACAGTGCTTATGATCAAATTGCAAACTAGGACTTCTGCTCCGTCTTTCGGACTCAGCATGGTCAAGGTTTTCCGTGTGTGCTCACCCAGCTGCCATGAGAATCCTGAACCTGGGCAGTGGACTGCTTCGAATGAATGTGATCCTAAACACCCATGCAATCGTTTTTATCAAAGTCATGGGGCTGGTGCCTATCAAGTAAAATAAAATGCAATATATCTGAAGTTACAAATGTGTCAAGCCAAAACATTTAACTCTCTGTGTACAGTGATACACAGAGTTGCCCTTTCACATTATCTAAGTGAGGGATGCGGCAGGCACAGCGGGCTGGCGCGGGCGCCGGTGCAGATGTGCTGGTGCGGAGGCTGGCTGGTTGCAGGTGTGCTGGTGCGGAGGCTGGCTGGTTGCAGATGTGCTGGTGCGGAGGCTGGCTGATTGCAGATGTGCTGGTGCGGAGGCTGGCTGGTGCAGATGTGCTGGTGCAGGTGGTGGTGTGTTGTGGCAGAGGAACACGTCTGGTGGTTTAATACCCTGGAGAGGGAAAGAAGTTCATTGTGGCCCCTTCCTGAAGGAGTTCTTCCGGTAGGACCTAAATGAGGCAGGATGCTTGATCTATGTTTATGTCCATGAAGTCTCTCAATTGGAGGCTCATTCTATGTCTCCTCTTCCTGTCTCCTCCCCGCCCCCCTCCGCTCCCAATGGGACCTGCTCAAGGAAGGCCCGCCCAGAAATAAAAGGCATCAGGTGGCAATAAAAGAAGTTCCCTGGGAAGCAAAACATTCTTTTTGCTGCACAAGGCTGAGTATTAAAAGGAGCATTAAAAACCAGAAGATTGTTCTATCCATCTACACAAGCTCACGTACTTGGCAATGCACATCTTATTGGAGAAGGACTCCGGCTTCGAGATAGCTGGAAAACAGACAAGTGGAATGTGAGTTACACAGTAGATGGAGCCTGATGAATGAGTCCCTTTGACCTTTTTCCCCCCTAAAACATCAGCTAACTAGTTGCTCTGAGACACTGCAGAACTATGATCTCCCCACTCAGGTTGAGCACCCAGTTTCCTTTTTTATTTTTTTTAAATATATTTTATTGATTTTTTTTACATAAAGGAAGGAAGGGAGAGGAATAGAGAGTTATAAATATCAATGAGAGAGAAACATTGATCAGCTGCCTCCTGCACACCCCCCACTGGGGATGTGCCCACAACCAAGGTACATGCCTTTGACTGGAATCGAACCTGGGACCCTTGAGTCCACGGGCCAACTCTCTATCCACTGAGCCAAACCGCTTAGGGCCCCCTTTCCTTTTTCATTTCCTAAAATAAATGGGCACTCAGTTTAGTTTAAATTATATTATTCATTAACACGTGGGCTCAGTGTCTTTGTTTCTTGTTGCTTTTTGTTATTGCTGTTTAACGGTTGCTAAGTACTTTAAGATTGAATGATCAGTGACCATATTGAATTCAAAGCTTTCCAGAACTTTACTATTAACGAATTAAAGCTCCAATGGTCAGATACTATCTGCAGATCCTTCCTATGAATTGCCCCCTGTATCCCTAGCACTGCCCCATTAAGGAAGGTCACTAGGCAAGCCAGAAAAAAAAAGAGAAAATTTGTTTCTCAAATCTCACCTTTGATTTCACTAAGCAAAAGCCACCGCCTGTACTTGCAAACCTGCTACAGCCCAGAAATAACCACCTACAAGCATCCCTCTTGCTCTAAGCTTTCAAACACTCCAGAGAGGCACTCCCGAAGATGGAAGCTGTTCTGCACACCAGACCTCTAACAACCCACGACCAGATCAACCAAAGACATTTGCATCCTAGCCGAAACCGGTTTGGCTCAGTGGATAGAGCCTCGGCCTGCAGACTGAAAGGTCCCAGGTTTGATTCCGGTCAAGGGCATGTACCTTGGTTGTGGTCACAACCCCAGTAGGGGGTGTGCAAGAGGCAGCTGATCGATGATTCTCTCTCATCGATGTTTCTAACTCTCTATCCCTCTCTCTTCCTCTCTGTAAAAAATCAATAAAAATATATTTTTAAAAAATAAAATAAAATAAAGACATTTGCATCTTATTTTGCAGGTGTACCCAGCTGGCTTAAGCAGGGGATACTGGACAGGGACGGAATGTTGGCAGCAGTTTCACCTTTGAGAACATCGTTTACTCTCGCCTAAAGTTTAAATGACTTTGTTCTCCCTGGGCACACAGTGGGGAGGAGGAGGCAGGTTGAACCATGGAGGGGCTTATTACAGAGGGTCGTTGCCCACGACAGCCCTCCTGTGCGTGCCCAGGGGGAACCTGTGCCATGGATGTCAGCACATAGGCGTCGGATTTTCTCTCTTCTGACATGTCGTTTCCTCTTAGATTGGGGAGAATTGCAATCTTCCAGTATAAAACTCTCAAGATTTGCTTTTCATGTGTCAGTTTACTAAATGCATTATCCTTTTACTTTTACTTACTGTAATACTTATTCCTGGATGAGGACCATTAAGTGATATTAAAATCTCTGAGAGCAAAAGAACTGTGTCAGAATCATGCCTTTTCCCTTCTCAGGCCATTTCCTTCATCGGGATTTTTTCTCCCCAATTTCCCAGCTTGTGAAATTCTGCCAAAACCACTATAAACTCCCCCGGGCACCCATTCCTCACCACCAAACCCAGAAAGCATCTTACCTGTCTAATATCGCTAGTACTTCCTGCCTCTTTAGGAACCAAATCATATACCGCTTTCAATTCCGTTGTTTATAAAAGATGAAAGCCCATCCAAGGGAAAGACCATGTTTCCGTTATTTTTGTGTCCCATTCTCCCATCCCGAAATCTAGCATCCACCCGACACAGAAGGAATGAAGGGATGCTTCGTGAAGACGGAGTCAGACATAATGGAGTGGTGGAGTAGCAATAGATGCTCACCAAACTCAGTTACTCGGGGGGTGTTGTCACTGTGAGGGTTTGCTTCTGTTTTGCTGGGGGCAGGGTGTTCGAAGTTTGGGGCTAGAGCTCATTTTAGGGAAGTAGATGTGGGTTTTCTTCCCCTCCACCCTCTCTGAAACAAGGTGAAGCAAACATGTTCATTTTTTTTTTTTTTTTTATCTAAAGGAACAGGATGTTGTTAGCCTGCCTGGTGTCCACATGTCTTGGTCCAGCCCGGTATTCAAAAGACATTGACTACATATTATTTGTTGAATAAATAAACACATTTATGTATGATGAATCATACTAATGTTTTTCGTCTTCAGAGGTGTTGTTGCTATTTTTTTCCTTTGACAGTAGTATTAGTAATTCTCTCAAGAACTAATGTAAGAGGAAACTAATCTTATTTTTCCTACTTTGAAACTGGGAGGAAAATGAACACCTGCAGTGCCCTTTATACGGTACTGAAATCCAGGCCATTTGATCAGTTTCTCCAAATCACAGAGTAAGTTCCAGAGGAGGCAGGGACCTGTGCTGAGATCAATTGACTAAGGTGTCCCGTTCTCTATAACTGATAACCAATAGCCCGTTTTCTTTAAAACAAACAAACCACCTCTGCTTCTTTCTAGGTCACGTGTCAAACACAAGGCCCGCGGGCCAAATCCGTCCCGCCAGGCCTTGCAATGTGGCCCGCACCGCGCTGTCATCACTGCACTCCGCTGCATTTCCATCACAATGACAGTTTATGACTGTTCAGTAAACCATTCGGCCCGCGATTTAGGCTGGATTTTAGATTTTGGCCCCTTCTCTGATTGAGTTCGACACACCTATTCTAGGTGATCGATTCCTTAGTCCAGGGATTAGAGAATATGTAAAACTAATAAAAATTAGTTTGGGGTTATTGCAACATGTTCTCTTTCTACCTACAGACTTACAGTCACCCCTTTAATAGGCTGCTGTTGAATTTTAAAATGTCAATCATAGGATGACTTTGTGCAAAATGATTAGATACATACCATGCTTATCCCAATATGGCTACGGGGGCAGATGGGACTTAAACTCCTGCTTCGACTTCGGGTTACGGGTCGCACAGAGTTCCACTAAAAAGAGAAAGAAAAATAGTCCATGGTTCATAAACGTTCTCATGGCTTATGACAATATGCATATCCCACCGGTAGAGAGGTTTTGCTGATATGATTACATTTGCCCATTACTTATCGTCTGCATTAGGTATACTCCTTACATTTACTATAGCTGCCCAATATTTGACAAAAACTTTAGGGTATTTCTCAAATAAAATCCCATTACAATGAACTTTAGGATATTCAAATGCTTGGTGCTAGTAGGATTCTGTTTTGATGAGTAAGTTGCAAAGTACATTAAGTTTGCATGCGTTGGAGACTGTAAGCACCCTGAGGGAGGGGCCTGAGTCTGATTTGTTCACTGCTGAACCCCAGCACCTGTGTTATAAATGACTACAGAGCAACTGTTGTTGAATGAAATGAATTGAGTGACTAAATAAACCACTATTGTTGTCCCCTACTCTTCAATTCAATTAATCAGTAAGAAAAAATACATATATTCACTATAGTAAGATCTCACGAATAAAAAGCCTTCTTAAAAATTTCCCTTCACTCAACGCTTTTCTTCTCAAGGTTCTTCCTTTTAGGGTATTCTCATTTTGTATGAGGAGTTTTTAAGCTTGGGCAAATGTTGGTGCCATGCTTGATGTGAGCAAACGAAATTAAAAGGCAACTGCTAATAGTGGCTATTTCTTCTCCTTCCCTTCTAAATTGTACTCCAGACAGTCTACAATGAGAATCTTTTAACAGGGGGTGATTATTGTAAGGGCAAGAAGCATGGTTTATGAGCACTTTCATTGCATAGCATATGTGGTTGTCAGAACACAACCCAACTCCTGTGGGCTCGGCTTCCACTGCACAAGTGTTTTATTGAGATACAGTGGGCTAAAGTGGGCTGCTTCTGCTGCAAAAACCCTTGTCTTGAGTTCTGTTACAATGCACTCCTCCCCTTCTCCCCTATGTGGGGGAAAGCACATTCTCTGTTCTCCCGCTCAAAGAGTGTAGAACAGAAGTCACCCGGATGGTGGCTTTGATCTGGACTGAGGAGCTTCACTTCAAATTTTACTTAACTCTTTCTAGGAAGGGCAGGGTCAAAACTCCATCATGTTCACATCATGTCCAGCACTTGTGGGCACTAGTTCCAATACCAAGTCACACTAAGACTCTATTCTGAAAGCTGTCCAGTTATTTAACATGCTCAAAACATTCTACAGACACGTACACAGGAAGCAATCTTCCGAAACCGATTGGTCCCTCTCTCCCCATCCCCTCTGCCCCCTCTTTCTCCGTCCCTCCCCTCTCCACACATCATACCAAGGAGAGAAAAATGGTACATTCATTGTTTCCCAAAATGGCTGCTCATCAGTAAAAATTTGGCAAACTGTATCCTGAAAATGTATCCCTTTTAAATGCTTAGCGTTACAAAGGGCCTCCCGTAAGGTGAGCTCAAAAGGTTTTGCGTTTATAATGGCTTAATATTGCTAAGATAAAGGAGGCAGGTAGGATTAGCTCTATTTTATAAATAAAGCAGCAGGCAAAGAAATTGCTGCCAAGAACCTATGAAGAATTGTGGAAGAACAGAAGAAAAGAATCTGTTCTCTCCCAGCCAATCCCTTTCCTCTCCTTTGTATGAAATCTTATCAAGCAACTCTTTATGAGCTTCCTTTTATAGAATCTCTGGGTGTATAAATGTTCTCGAACTTGTGAATCAAACACTTGGGACGAATTGTCACAATGCAAGGCCACCGTACAAAAGCCCCTCTCTTGGTGACAGCTTCCCCCTTCATAATGACGATGTCATTCTCCATGAGGGCAGGCCACACGTGATAGAAGATCAAGGGTGCCGTGAAATCCGAGTCATAGCTGCGACGGTACCTGTTTTAAACACACAGAAGAAGGAGAAAGAGAAGTGAAGCAATTAGGTAGCACACCTGGGAGGGGGAACAGCTGTGTAAACTTCCATTTTGATTATGCTCAGATCTAGATAGACACGGATTCTGATTCTGTTATTGAAGAGATGCTTTCGGGCCCTTAGAATAGGAACCAGTCATTAGAGGAGCCCCCATGGACTAGTCACAAATCACATCCGGCTAATTGTGCCCTTCTCTTTCTCCAGATTACCCATATTTTCCGGCGTTTAAGACAACTTTTGAAATGAAAAAAAGTCAACTGAAAATCGGGGGCAAAAGACCAAAATTGCACAAAAATTACCTGCAGATCTTGACGGCAAAGTAAGTCTTTTCTTTGAAGTGGGAGATAGTCTTAAACAGAGAATATAGGCCTAAACCTATGTTTTAACTGTAAAATTAGGGGGTCGTCTTACACGCTGGAAAATATGGTATAAGAGTTGCAATTCAAGGAAATGCTAGAGCCAGAACCAGTTTGGCTCAGTGGATAGAGTATAGGCCTGCAGACTGAAAGATCCTGGGTTTGATTCCAGTGAAGGGCATGTACCTTGGTTGCAGGCACATCCCCAGTAGGGGATGTGCAAGAGGCAGCTGATCGATGATTCTCTCTCATCAATGTTTCTAACTATCCCTCTCTCTTCCTCTCTGTAAAAAATCAACAAAATTTTTTTTAAAAACAACAACATCAAGGAAATGCTAGAGACCATGGGAAGTCCCATAGGCTTCCTGCAAGATTTCTCATGTTACCTTTGTGGGCAAAACAGGAGAAATGTAATTGGATGATTAACCCAAGTAAATGGGTTGGAAACTGGTTCAAGAATCAGATCCAAGGAGAGGTAATTAATGAACCCATGAGAACGTGAGCGAAGGTGCAAAGGGCTCTCTCAATCCCATGATAAATCAACATTGTCATCAATGATTTGCATGAAATATAGAAAAATCATTCAAAGGTGGGGAGTGGGTCAAAAAACAAAACAAACAAACAAACAAAAAACACAGATCACAATATCAAAAAATAGCTTGCCTGGCTAGCTTGGCTCAGTGGTTGAGCGTTGACCTATGAACATAGGAGATCATGGTTCAATTCCTGGTCCGGGCACATGCCCAGGTTGCAAACTTGATCCCCAGTGTGGGGTGTGCAGGAAGCAACTGATCAATGGTTCTCTCTAATCACTGATGTTTCTATCTCTCTCTCCGTCTCCCTTCCTCTCTGAAATCAATAAAATAGTATTTTTTTAAATGAAATTGCTTGATTGGCTGGGAAAAATAAGCTGAAGAACACAGCATGTAGTTTGGATACCTATGGGGTCCTGCAATTGAATCTTTTAAAAAATTTAACTACAAAGAAGTAACAAATGGCTTACACAGCCCAAGTAAAAATATAATAACAGATTTCAGTTGAACTCAAAATGAGTAAACAGTGTTATATGGCTGGGGGTCTGGGGGAAGGAAGAAGAAAATAACTTTTAAAATTAGCTGAATTAATAGAGAATAAGAATAGAAAGTGTGTCGGTCCTCCAGACTGACCAGTCCAAACCAGGGGACTGCATTCAGTGTGGACACTCTCTTAACAAGGGATGCTCAGCAGAGCATGGAGCACAGGCCAAGGAAACAGATGTTTGTCAAGAAGTCTCAACCCCCAGCCCCTACATATGGAAAAAACCTGAAGGCATGAGGCCAGGAGGAGGAGAATTTGAGTAATTGCTTTTAAATGTGTGAAAGGCTGCCAGAGTTTTCGGGGTTTTTTTATTTTATTTTAAGAATTATGCTTGTGCTGTGAAGTCCTAGAGGGAGAACCAAATCCAATCATTACTAGGAACTCCAGTTTCCACCCCACAGCCAACCAAGATCTGTATGCTCCTGATTCTGTTATTAAAGAGATGCTTTCAAGGATGCTCCAAGATCTGCCTGCGCAGGAGGCCCTTCAGAGGTTTAGGGAATGTCCAGACCTCATAAACCAAAATAGATGAATATTTCTTTCTTTCTTTTATTTCTTATTTTAACCACCACGCAGATTAAAAGGGAAAGAGAGAGAGAAATATCGATGAGAGAGAAACATTTATTAGTTGAGTCCCATACCTGCTCTCTACCCGGGAATCGAACCCACAACCTTTTGGTATACGGAAAGAGGCTTGAACCAACTGAGCCACTTGGCCAGGGCAAGTAGATGAATATTTCTAAGTGGGAACAGGCATCCTCTAAAGCAGTGGTTTTCAACCTTTCTAATGCCGCTACCCTTTAATACAGCTCCTCATGTTGTGGTGACCCCTGACCATAAAATTATTTTTGTTGCTATTTCATAACTGTAATTTTGCTATTGTTATGAATTGTAATGTAAATATCTGTCTTTTCTTATGGTCTTAGGTGACTCTGTTAGCAATTCTCAACCTGTGGGTCATGACCCACAGGAAAGACCATCGGAAAAGACAGATATAGTATAGCTCATTAGTGGTGGAGCTGGGACTGGAGCCCAGGTAGCTTGACATCTGGTCTCCTCCCAGATCATCTCCAGCTATATCATAAGACCTCATAAAATCCCAGTAAAATGTTCCAAATTAACTTAATTTCTTTTCATTTATAAAGGAAATATTTATCATGAAACCCCTGGTAGAAACCTAATGGTCCTAGATGAAAGAGTTAAGAGCATCACTGTCACATGCTAGTGTGCAGAGAGAATTACAGATCCCCAAGCCCCACTCCAGACCCACTGCATAAAATATCACGGCGTGCGATCCAGGAACCTGCATTTTTAACAAATATCTTGAGCAATTCTAATATAGGTGATCTATGCACCATACTTTGAGAAACCTGGTCTAAATAATGCAGTAAAAACCAATAAAAGAAAACAATAATCTGATTTAAAAACAGGCCAATAATCTGAATGTTTTTCCAAAGAAGGCATACAGATGGCCATCAAGTACATGAAAAGGTGCTCAACAGCATTAATCATCAGTAAAATGTAAATCAAAACCACAAGGAGATATCACCTCACACCTGTTAGAATGGCTATTATAAAAAAGAAGAAGAAGAAGAAGAAGAAGAAGAAGAAGAAGAAGAAGAAGAAGAAGAAGAAAACAAGAAATAAGTGTTGGCAAGGATGTGAAGAAAAGGGAACTCTCGTGCAATGTGGGCGGGAACATAAATTGGTACAGCCACTATGGAAAATAGTGTGGCGGTTCCTCAAAAAATTCAAGTAGGACTACCATAGAATCCAGCAATTCCACTTCTGAAGAAAACAAAAACACAAATTCGAAAAGATATATGCACCCCCATGTTCACTGCAGCATTATTTACAATAGCAAAGATATGGCAACAATATAAGTGTCCATTGATGGATGAATGGATAAAGAAGATGTGATACACATAAACAGTGGAATATTATTCAGCCATAAAAAGAATGAAAGCTTGCCATTAGCAACAACATGAAGGGACCTTAAGGGCATTATGCTAAGAGATATAAGACAGAAGAGAAAGACAAATACCATATGATCTCAAACAAGGAATCTAAAAAATAAACAAACAAAAACCTCGCTCATAAATACAAAAAATAGATTAGTGGTTGCCCGAGGCATGGGGTGTGGGCAAAATGAGCTAAGGGGGTCAAAAGATACAAACCTATATTTATAAAATAAGTAAGTCAGGAGATGTGATGTACACTGTGGTGACTCTAGTTAATAATACTGTATTGCATATTTGAAAGTTGCTAAAAGAGCAAATCTTAAATGTTTTCAGCACAAGGAAAAAATTATATAACCATGTATGGTGACAGATGGTGCACTTCATAAAAATATCACATCATTATGTTGTACACCTGAAACCAATACAGAGTTATATGCTAATTACACCTCAATAAAAAGTGTTAAACAATAAAAAGTAGGACATGCTTGTATTCACATAGCGCCTTTCTTTTAAAATGTTACAGACAGGCTCCAGGTACTTACTAATTCTCCCCAAGACCAGTATGATCAATGAAAACCATATCGTCCCCTCTGACACCCATTAGACTGAGAAGGGAAGTGACCAGGGAGAGGGCCCTGTCCTGTAGTAACGGAGAAGTACGTGGCAGGGCCTGGAAATCAGGTAGCAGCTGTTGATTTCCCCACCCAGCGTTCTTTAAATCGTTCCCAGGAAATAGAGACAAGGTCACTTATTTCTTATTCCTTAGCGTCCGCTCCTATGTCTCTTACTTGAAGTCATTAAACATTTCCCCATCGGCCCCAAATGCAATATCCAGGGGTGGCTCTAACGTCTGCATCGCAAAGGCAATGCAACATATCTCCTGGATGAAGTTACTGAGGAGGCAGAAGTCAACTTCTGGAGGGAATGAAATCTTGGGATTGACATTCATGGCTCGAATCACATCCTGAAAAACAAAAAAGATGGCATCCCCTTGTTACATCCTGTGGCCAGACACTCTGACAACCCCAAGGACATTGTGACCGATGGAGGTGGGGAAAGGAAGTGTGAGGGAAGCAAGTTAAAAACAAGAGGAGTACATGTGTTAAAAGGAGGAAGCCTCGTGAATAGGAGGAGGGAAAAGATGACAGAATATGAATGACATACTGACAACCAGGAGAGTCTAAAAAAAAAACCTGAAGGAAAATCCCTGCCCTGACTAGTTTGGCTCAGTGGATGGAGCGTCGGCCTGCAGACTGAAGGGTCCCAGGTTTGGTTCTGGTCAAGGGCATGTACCTTGGTTGCGGGCACAAGCCCAGTGTGGGGGGTGCAGGAGGCAGCTGATCAATGTTTCTCTCTCATCGATGTTTCTAACTCTCTATCCCTCTCCCTTCCTTTCTGTAAAAAAATCAATAAAATATGTTTTTTTTTAAAAAAGAAAGAAAAAACCCTTAGTATCTTTTATTTATTCTTTCCCCTTTTTTAAATTCTGGGCAAGTTATATGATATGCCCACACAGAACTCTGACTTGTTCATAATCTATAATAATAATAATTATAATAGCCTGCGTTTATTGAGAGTTCACTATATGCCTGGTCTTGTGCTAAGCAAATGACCTGCTTTCTTTCATTTAAGCCTCTCAAGAACTCTATAGGTCATGACTTTTGCTGTTCCCACTTAAAGATTAGAAAACTACAGAACAGAGAGGTTAAGTAAATGTGCAAGGTCACACAGCCAGTAAGTGGCCAGAGCCAGGATGCAAATCTACACCTATCTTTCCCAAAATCTTAGGAACAACTATGTTCTATCTTCCAATCTTAAGGGCCCACCTAAAGAAGTAATTTCCATCTTTTTTCATCTCATGGCACACAAACAAATTACTAAAATTCTGTGGTACACCAAAAAATTTATTTTTTTTACCGACCTGACCAAAAACTATAGGTATAATTTTGATTCATTCACACTGGACAGCTATATTGTTGTTTTGACTGTTGTCATCTTTTTTACTTGACAATCTAAGGGAAAAGAGGTCAGTGCCCCTAACTAAACTAGTCAGGTATTTCATGTTTTAAAAATCCGTGCAGCGATCAGTGTGTCGAGGCATGCTGGTTGAAAATCACTGATTTAAAGAATAGAACCAGCAAGCTCAAAATGCAAGCTCAAAATATTTTCTTCATACAATGTCTGAGAAAGAAACTGCCATTATTGGCTGGTTCTACAAAGTAACTTGCAGGCTGCTCGTTTCTGCTTTTCCATTACCTAGAAGCAGCACTGAATGGGTTTCTGAGTTACTGGAATTCGGTGTAAATATCATTAGCAGCAAACCAGCCCCAATTAGAGACCCAGCACTTACGTTGACACTGCTTTGGGAATCGTATAGATCAAGGTGACAGATTATATAATCCATGACGGCATCCTCAAAGTCATTCGCCCCTATATACGACGGTGTCAAAGATTTCCTTACACGGATCTTGAAGTGTCTGAATGCCATTTTAGCTACATGGAATGCCTCCTGCACATAAAAATTGCAGCAAATTTATTTGGTGAGACGAGGGGGGGGCAAAGAGGTCCAAAGCAAGGAATGAAGAAATTCATCAAAAATTCAACATCATATGGGTTTTCTGACAACTAAACACAGTGGGTCAAAACTATTTTTAATCTGGGAGAAAATTATATCTCCCAATTTTGAAAAGGATATAAATACAAATAAGACTATTCACATTCACCCATTTTAAGACAGCGGACCATTGTTTTTGGTGACATGGAGAGCAGGACAGTACAGTGCAGGAAATAAATCACCTGTGGTTACATAAATGCTTGGCAGATGCTAGCTGACGCTATCTATGACCCCACAGTAACACCATATTACTTGTCAAGAAATAAGAGAAAAAGGAACAATTTAGTGTTTGTTATACAAAGACATGTATCAGGTGTTGGGCATGTTTCCTGACACACACTAATTCAACAAACATTTATTAAATGCCTGTGATATAGTCAGCCCTGAGAAAATCTACTTATATATGCAAGACATGGCTTCTATGCTCACAGAACTTTAACCAACCCAGTAAGTAATTCTCAAACCAGGAACTGGCAAACTTGTTTCTGGAAAGAGCCAGACAGTACTGAGGCTGTCACTTTTTTTTTTTTTTTAACAACCCTTTAAAAATGAAAAATCATTCTTATAATCTTAGCTCTTGGGTGGTATTTTTCTTAGAAATATAGGTCACGGTCAGAGATGGCCCACAGGTCCAAGTTAGCTGACTCCTGATGTAAATTCATAAATACAGGATAAAGTTCAGGAGATTCTGATCCTTCTGCTCTCATACCAATGCCCTTTTTCATTTACAATTTAATTGTTCTCACGATGAACTTAGTATCTCAATAGGGTACCCAAGGAACAACCCTTAACTGCTTTGGGAACTAAGGATTACAAATGAGCACTTTGCAATCTGTAACTACTCTTCTGATTTTTCAAAGAACAGAAGGCAATCAATCAAATGATAGCCATTATAGCAAGCTTATATACACTGGCATATCTATGCCCATTTTGAAGATTCCATGCACATGGACTAAGGTATATACCCATTCCAGATTATCTTATCATTATAATCCCTTCAACAAATGTCTGGTCACTATCAATATATTAATACATATGAATAGTTACTGATTGTAAAAAAAAAAAAAAAAATGATTCATCCCAAATACTTGCAATGGAAGCAGGGAAGGAAAGAAGGAAGGAAGGAAGGAAGGAAGGAAGGAAGGAAGGAAGGAAGGAAGGAAGGAAGGAAGGAAGGAGGAAGGAAGGAGGGGGAGGGAGGGAGGGAGGGAGGGAGGAAGGGGAAGAAGGAGGAAGGAGTGAGGAAGAGGGAGGAGGAAGGGAGGGAGGGAGGGAGGGAGAAGGGAGAGGAAAGAACAAAGGAAGAAGAAGGAAGAAGGAGGAGGGAAGGGGGAGAGGGGAGGAAAAAGGAAGGAGGGGAGGGAGAGGAAGGACAGGAAGACAGGAAGAAGGGAGGGAGGGAGGAAGTACGGGGGAGGGAAAATTGAGGAGGGAAGACATGAAGGAAGGAAAGAAAAAGATAAGAGGAAGACGGAGGAAGGCAGGAAGTACGGAATTAGGGAGAGGAGAGGAGGGAGGAGGAGGGAGGGAGGGTGGGAGGGAAGAGGAGAGGGAGGGAGAAAAGTAGCTTGACATCTGGCCTCCTCCCGGATGGGGACGCATGGAAGCCCCACGCTCTTGCGGGGGCCTCAGGACCTAAGTCCTTTTGGGCTGTGCTGCTCAGTTGCCCAAACGGCCGTCCCGGGCCACGCACCACGGTGGCGATGTAGATGATGCGCTGCACGCTCTCGGCGCTGTCGATGCACTGGCGCAGCAGGCACTGCGCGTCCAGGCGCGCCTGCGAGTAGGCGTCGCTGAACCGGGACATGAGCGCCGCCTTGCGCGCCCCGCTGGATAGCTTGGAGCGGTTCGGGGAGGGCGTCCGGATCTTCACCATCGCGTTGGTGGGGCTGCCCGACCGGCTGCGGCTGCGGCTGCGGCTGCGGCTGCGGCTGCCGCTGCGGCTGCCTGGACGGCTGTGGCCGTGGCTGAGGCTGCGGCTGCGGCTGCGGCTGCGGCTACGGCTGCGGCTGCGGCTGCGGGCAGGCGGGCTGCGGCTGCGGGGGTCCGGGCTGGGAGTCTGGCTCCGGGTGGACCTGCGAGGAAGCAAGGATCAGCGGGGACACACTCGGATGCCGTCCCTCCGGGACTCTGCTTCTCCCCGCATCCGCTGCAAAGGATGCTCAGGAGCCGCTGTCTCCGGGGCCTCCCTTCCCCCTGGGCCTGACAAGGGGCAGCGTCTCCACGGGGCCTCAAATGTGAGCACAGCATTGACACAAGACTCGTTTGCACGGTGCATGAGACTCAGTAAATAAAGCACTCTCAGTGCAGCCTGCCTGCTGCAGCCCGTGAGGCCAGCACTGATGCTGACCACGTTACAGATGAGGAGCTGGGAGCTCAGAAAAGGGAGTAGTGGGCTGGCCTGGAGTAACCCAGCTGGGAAGCCAGAGGTCAAGGGGAAGCCAGATGGTCTTTGCTGGGTGCCCCAGCCATGGGGAGCGTGCGGTGTAAAATGAGAAGCACACTGAGCAATGAGGAAGATCTGTGCTGTCGCTCCCACCTCGTCACAGCAGCTGGAGCGGCTGAAATCCTCTCTCCCCTGCGAAGCTTAGGCCCAGGCTCCCACCCACCGCATTTTTTGCTCTGTTGGGGATGGGGGTGGAGGTGGGGGGTGGGAAGAGCAGGTGAGCTAATGCATGTGGAAGTACTTGGCCAATTGGAAAGCGCCATATCAGTAAATGGCCACCGAGTCCAAGGGAAATTACCAGACTAGCTAGCCCAACGACAATGAGCCCCCACCCAAAAGGAGGTTTCTGTGGAAGACACTATAGGGCAAAGTGTGTGATGTCACTAAACTCGAGTGAGGCAGAAATGCAGAGTATGCCGAAACCGGTTTGGCTCAGTGGATAGAGCCGTGGCCTGCGGACTGACCTGTCCTGGGTTCTATCCTGGTCAAGGGCACATCCCCGGTGGGGGGTGTGCAAGAGGCAGCTGGTCAATGTTTCTCTCTCTCGTCGGTGTTTCTAACTCTCTATCCCTCTCCTTTCATCTCTGTAAAAAATCAAATATATATTAATATATATATATGAAAGAAATGCAGAGTATGTTCTTAGGAGCCAACATGAGCCAGCAGCAGCACAACACTGAAGAAGTGATTCCCCAAAATGAAAGACTAAGGTGGCATTTAGGGACATGGGGACCGGGCAGGGGGTGGCTTGAATAACTTGAATCAGGGCGTGTTATCAGGCTGGCATGGGAGGCGGGTGGAAAGCATGAGGAACATGCAGCGACTGCAGAGAGAAACATCCTACTTGGTTCTCACTCAACACTGTTTGAATTCAAGGCCTGCCTTGAGGTCTGTCCATCAGCAGAAAGGGATGCCACAGTAGCTGTTGCGTGCATCAAACAGCTGTCGGAGGGAACTACCCTCCAGCAAGACAACAGCTGGTCCCTCCCGGACAGAGCACTCTTGGGCCTTAAGAGAAGGGGCCCTATGCTGAAACCAGTTTGGCTCAGTGGTAGAGCATCGGTCTGTGGACTGAAGGGTCCCAGGTTCGATTCCGGTCAGGGGCATGTACCTTGGTTGCGCGCACATCCCCAGGGGTGTGCAAGAGGCAGCTGATCGATGTTTCTCTCTCATCGACATTTCTAGCTCTCTATCTCCCTCCCTTTCCCTCTGTAAAAAAAAACAATAAAATATATTTTAAAAGAGAGAGGGGGGATGTTCATATCATGGAACATCCTGGCAGTGTGGGTACCACCTCTTTCCTTCCGGGCCCTCTCAGCTATGGTTTCAAGCCAAAAGAGCTTCCTTTTCCCATATTGCTCAGTCTCCTGCCTTACAACGCCAGCCCCACATCCATGAGTGCCCGGATTTGGCCATCCAAGAGGTCATTTCTCTCTGAAGGGTCAGAAAGAACAATTTACCATGCAAAGCTTCCCATATTGTTGGGGCCTGGGTTCAAGGGTGTCACTTTCCTTAGTTTCTCAACCACAGTAATGGTTACTTGGTTGTTTCACTAACACAGGCGCTTAGGGGAGAAGACCTGTGAGGAGGTGTCGGACCTTCCTTGGAGGGCAGAGTTTTCGGCCGTCAGAGCTGCGATCTCGTCCTTCAGCGAGCGGACCTGCTTCTCATAATCGGATATCACTTCGGGGTCACACCGCTCACGCTTGTCCAAGCCAGAGACGTGTTTGTCCAAGCCGCTGCGCTTGTCGATGCTGCGATGCTCCGATCGCCTCAGGTCCGAGGTCCTCAGCTCTGCACCTCGCTCTGCACCTCGCTCTGCACCTCGCTCTAAACCTCGCTCTGCACTTCGCTCTAAACCTCGCTCTGAACTTCGCTCTAAACCTCGCTCTAAACGTCGCTCTGAACCTCGCTCTGAACCTCGATCTGTGCTCTTACGCCGCCCAGAGGCTCTATGCAATGAGTGGCGGGACTCTTCCAGGGCTTGAAGTGATTTAAGCCTGAAGAGAGAAAAAAATATATTTTTTTAAGTCAAGAAAGAAGGGAGGGAGGGAAGGGAGGAAGGGGGGGGGGAGGGAGGAAAGGTAATAAGCAACAGTTGGCATACTTAAAACAGGCTACTCTAGTTTGTGTGCCATTATTGCATTGGACACGTCTAAAGAAAATACATAGGAACACACACAGATTAGCAAAGAGTCGATTGCAGGGTCAGGGGGTCACTCCACCTCTTTAGCATATGATATAATCATATCATTGGAAAATACTTCTGAAGAAAAGATAGCTGTGCAGACCCTCCAGCAAAAGCAGGGTGGGCCTGTAGTCATATCGTTCTAGACTGGGCTGATATGAACCACACAAAATTCTAGAAGCATTTGACCTCCAAAACCTAGTCCAGAAGCTGGGCAAAGACATTATGAGCTATGGGGAGAGACTACAATGGAAACTGAACAACATCTGCAAGACTAGGTGGAAGTTTGGACCTACGAAAATGATGTATTACAGAAACAAACGGAGCTTCAGAAATCATACTGGCATCCTCATAAAGATACAAAGAGGCATGGCCATCGTAAAACGGGAGCAAAAGCCACGAGAAGAGGACATGCTGGGGTAGAAATGACAATGGTGTCAGACGGAAGCATAAGGGGTAAAGATTGAGAAGGATGTAGAGAAGCTAAAAATGCAACAGCAGAATTCAAAGTAAAGAACAGAGTCACTGAGTGGTCTGATCAATGCATTTGAGAAGGTATATCAAATAGGAATAAGAGATCAAAGTGATGAAAAGGGAGATTGAAGTGAAAAATAGAAGAGTACTCCAAGCTAAAATTTAGGGGGGATTCCTGAAGAAATCAGAACAATTGGAACATGTGTGATGCAACAGAATAGTATTTATATGTGTGTGTGTGTGTGTGTGTGTGTGTGTGTGTGTATGTATATATATATTCATATGTATATATATATATATATATTCATATGTATATATTCGTATATATATAATATTTTTAATACAATGTCCACTTTCTCTTTGGGGATGGAGAGAATATCAAAATGAAAATCAAGGAAGGTATATAACTTTAAATGAGCAGTGTTTGTTTTCCCCTTCTAAAAATTTATCTTTAGAGAATACCTAGAAATTTTAACTAAGATTTGCCACAGAAATCATCACAATGTTATTTCCAATGCTGAAAATTGGTATCAAAGTAAATAGTTGATATTAAGGAAGCACATCAAATGATTGAACATGATGCAGAATGTTTGTTTGTTTGTTTGTTTGTTTGTTTGGTTAGTAAGAGGGGGGAAACAATATTAACTTAACAAATGGGGTCCAAAATTGTAAACTTACACTTATTTTGCAGTCTTACCTCTATTTCTAATGTATGAATTGGAAGAAATGTCAGATGGTAACAGAAACTGGAATTATGAGAGGGTTCTGGAATTATGAGAGGGTCTTTAGTTTCCTTTATACTACACTGTGCTTTGGAAATTCTCTCTAGTAGATAGGTAATGTTTTTGTAGTAAGAAAAAACATCTAAAACACTAATAAAAATGTTGTTTCCTTTCCTCTTTGATTGTGAACAGATTATTTCATATTGTAATGGGACACCAAAAAAGCTAAATGCAAAGATTAATCAGCAGGCTGCAATGCTCCTGTCCTTTTTTTTTTTTTTTTTTTTTTTTTTTTTTTTTTTTTTTTTCCTTACTGCTTTTTTAGCTGATTTATTTCCTCCTCTGCAGCCAAAAGGGATATGGCCGATCTGTTCTTGGTTGCTTCAGTAATCTTTGGAGTGTCAGCCAGACTGTAAGAAAAATCAGTAACTAAAGACAGATTTCCAAAATTGGCAGACTTTTTAAATCAAGGCATAGGTTCTTTCTCTCTTGGGAATTTTTAGCATATGATATAAATTTGACATAAACAAGATCAAATTATAAGACATCTGCATTCAATCAGATGACATTACAAATATTGTAATATGTTTATATGCAAAAGCATGCTAACGCCCTTCCTCAGTGTCCAACACAAAGAAATTATAAATCTACTATGCTCTAAAAGACTATGTAATAATTATTAACATTAAAATATAAAGGACAAAAATACTTGTTCAGTTTTTCTTTCTCACCTAATTCATTTGTTCTAATTATACCAAGTCCCTAGGTTGCCTTACTACATAAAATCTTCACTTTTATGCAATATACTAATACCTATTCTGATTACTTTGCACTATAAAGCTGAATTTGACTTAATTTTTCCAGACTTCCTAAATAAAAAAAAAAGATTATTTGCCCTCTTATAAAGCCCTCCACAATTATACTTGACTACCATGACTATTTCAATGACTTGACTACCAATGACTACCAACTATTTCATGTCTTCCTGCCTCTGACTTCCATCACCTACTAAGCACGAGTTTCCTGCATTTTCTGCATAGCTCAGTCACTGCTAGTTTTAATGACTCTCTCCATTGTAGATGTCATAGTAAATTATACTATTTCTTTAAGTCTGTCTAAATTTAAAAGGAAATGTGAATGTGCTGGATGACGATGGATGAAGACCAATGGTCCTCAGTTAAGTCGCCCCAGTGCAGGGAGAGATCATGGGTTGGCAAAGGTTTCTTGACTTAGCTGACCCTACCTCCCGGGAACATCGCTTTCACCATGGAAGTCCTGCGGCTAAGAGAGAGCAACTACTAACTAAACTCGCAGTTGTCCTCATCCTTCACGTGCTACTCTCTACCACCCTTAACTCTCCCAAGTAAAGTTTGTCACCCCTTCTCTGGGCCCCTCCCACACTCAGCTCACACTTACAACCTAATGACAAACACACTGTGAACTACTTGAGGGCAAAGCTTTTATTTTATTCATGTCTTTATCCCAAGCACCTAAAACAGTGCCTGTCACAATGTAGATTAAACACACACACACACACACACACACACACACACACACACACACAAAAATAACACCCTGAGAATTAATGAACAAAATGTCTAAAGTCTAAAACAAAGCCATAGTAGCAATAACTCCAGGCCTACTGGAAGTTGAAAGGAAAATGTTGCGATCTAATTCAAATGTGAATATGTTACAGTTTTTTGGGGGTTTTTTAAAGTATATATGGGAAAATGAACATTTTATTAAGAGAAAACTGTAAAAAATTAAAAGGACAAGATAGACTAAGAAATGAAAGAGTATGGACAGGATTAAAGTAGGTTTTTTTCCTCTCAAAACATGGTATATATGTGTGAGTACATATACAAATAAGCAAAGATACATGTTAATTTGGTACCCGTGGCTGACATACAGAGAGAAAAGAGGAACATTCATGTGCCAAGAATTGTTTTTAAGCTGATGAGCAGCTTTTTAAATTTTGTATTATGGGCTTATTCATTCATTGATCAAATTACTGAGAATTTACTATGCGCCAAGCACAATGCTGGGTGCTAAAGATACAACAGTGTCAAAACATCAATACAAATACGCAGTTCATCAGATCACAAATAGGCAAACAAGTGTTTAAATGTTCCAAATTGTGGAAAGTGCTATGTTTAGGTCATTGTGAAAAAGAACTTAAGGAAGGTAAGAAGAAAGACCTTTTGCTGTATCGTGGTCACAAACAGACTCTGAGGAAGATAACCAAGAGCCAGCCTTACCAAGAGCCCATGGAAGACTTCCGTTGTTCTGAAGGAGCACGGGCAAAGGCCTCAGAGTGAAGAAGAAATGGACAGTAGACTAGGTGAGGGGAGTCTGGCATGAGATGAGGGTGAAGCGAGAGGAAGGGTCAGACCGTGCAGGGCCGTGAGAAGGCCCTGGGAAGGCTGCTCACAGCTTTTAAGCAGAGTGATGGCTTCATAAAGTAAAAATGCATCTGTATTGTCCATGTGAGAAATGGCTTGTAGTATCGATAGTAGATCAAGAATGGGAACAGGGAACCCCCTTGGAAGGCAATGAATTGAGGTCAGCGGCTTGAACCAGGGCAAGGGCAGTACAACAGAAAGAAAGGGACACGTGTGTGGGATGCTTAGGAGGCAGATTCCACTCTATTCTCATAGACTGGGTGTCGGAAATGCAGGAGAGCGAGAGTCCTAACCAGAGTCCAGGCATAAAATCCATTAGCATGTCGCAGTCTTTCCATGTCTGGAGTTATCACACCTGGGCAGGCCGGTCCGCACTCAGCACTGTATTGGAATCGGCACTTTGGGAACTGAGTCACAACCAAACTGGTCTCCTCAAGGACAGGCCTGGGAACCTCCTTGGGACACACCTACTTATTCCACCACAGGTAGCACCCTGGCTTTAGAGACAGAGGTAGGCAGAGTGAGAAAAGGTTGGGGGAGGGGGTAAGATGACTCCCACAAAAGGGGAGAACAGCCCCAATCATTTGTAATGCCTTCAATAAACGTAGAATATGAGCCACATATGAGTTCATAACAAAAAAGAAACTAAGAAATTCAGAGAAAAGCAACAAGCACCCTCCAATGTGCAGCCTCCAAATGGAGGGTGGGGGGTGGGGGCCATGAACATAGATAAAGAGAAACACACACATCATCAAGCCAATAGGGGAAAGGGCATAGGAAAGGGGATATGGGTGTTCCTAGTGCTATTCTTTCAAATGTTCTGTACTTGAAATTACTTCCAAATAAAAAGTTTTAAAAATACATAGTCTTTTTTTTTTTTCAGTCTATGGTGCCCCTTATAGCTAACTACCGAGCCATAGTGACAAGAGAGAGGGGTAGGAACCTGGCTCCTATTGCTACTGATAAAAGAGAGAATCAGCAAACTCCAAAGCATCAATAGGCAAATGGAGAGACCTGCTCGTCAGCAGCAGAGGCCAGTAAATGCCCCTAGGTGACCTAACCAGACAAGCCACAACTCAGCCTCCAGCAGCAAAAGACACCAGTGTCCAGGAGGAACAGAAGCAAACAAGAACCCTGCAGGCAGAGCAAGACCAAATCCCCTCTTCTCTGGCACGAGGAGGGCATGCAAGCATCCCTCACCCCTAGATGTCAGTCTAAGGAGGGAGGAGGGAAAGTAGACCCATGAGAGAGCAAACACTGCCCCTAAGGAAAGTCTGAACTTGGAATTAACTGAATATTTACACAAAAAGAACTACAATAAACCAGAAAGGAAGTGGCACATTTAAGGATCCTCCTCACCCCACTCCAGATCAGTTGACATTAGTTGAAAAGAGTTACAGAAATTCAGAGGAGCCGAAACCGGTTTGGCTCAGTGGATAGAGCGTCGGCCTGCGGACTGGAAGGTCCCAGGTTCGATTCTGGTCAAGGGCATGTACTTTGGTTGTGGGCACATCCCCGGTAGGGGGTGTGCAAGAGGCAGATGAGCGATGATTCTCTCTCATCGATGTTTCTAACTCTCTATCCTCTCTCTTCCTCTCTGTGAAAAATCAATAAAATGTTGGTGTTTTGGTTTTTTTTTAATTCAGAGGAATTATGCCTTTTGTACCTTACAGTTGTAAACTTTGTTGCAGCTATAAAACTGCTCATGGATGATGGCTCCAATTAGAAAAATGGATGTGGGGAGGAGGGATGTGGAGATGCATGCAAGCACACACACAGAAAAAGATCTGGGGTAAAATATACCAAATTATTAACCAGGATGAATAACAAGTGATTTTCATCTCTCTCTCTCTCTCTCTCTCTCTCTCTCTCTCTCTTTTTTTTTCTCTTTTTTCATCTTTATACTCTTATTCATTGTATGCATTTTGAGAAAAAGAAATTTGTATTTTTCTAATCAGGCAATTTTCTAAATCAGTAGAGATGTTTTCCATTAGCGGAAAGCTCATCAGAAAACAAGGCAGAATGCCATCCCCTATCCCATCACAAGCCTGAACTAGTTAAAAACAGAATCCCCTGCTGTCCCAGATAGTATGCTAACAATGGAATGATGCTGTTGGAGGAGGAATACCTTATTGATGGGTGGGTTTGTGTGAGGTGTGTTGAATGCAGCTTTATACACATCATGCCTATCTCTTCCTCAAGTATGACCCAAAGTTCGCAATTTTCTTTGCAGTGATTCCTTGAGCTTGCTTCCCTGGTTTTGTACATACCAAGCATCTGGTATGGTGCCTGACCCTGCTTAACTTATTTAAATACATTTTTGTATCGAATAGTTATTCCAGAATCTTGAATTATTCATCATTTAAAAAGTCTGATCTCTCAGTCCCACCCCCAAGTGAGTACAACAAACAAATAAGTGCAGCCTGCTTCATCTTGCTTTTGCTCTCCTTCTCTTAATTTTTCTATTTACCCTCCTTAGCCCTTTCCCTCCGTATCTTTTCTCATTTCCCTCCCTGAAAACAGACTTTCATATAACAATCTTCCTCTGTTTACAAATATGGGCTGACAATAGGCCTATGGAAAAGAAGGGGCTCCGGGAATTGAGCCAAAAGGACCAGGGCTTTGGGGATTATATGGAAATCCTGGCCCCAAGTTCAAAGGCACTGACTCCCACCACACACACACACACACACACACACACACACACACACACACCATATTACTTATTACTCATTAGCAGATGTCTACATTTTATCTGATTCTCCTTTCAAACCTAAAACTTAAATGAAGAATAAGCAATTCTTTTTAGAAAAAGACAACTTGCATTCCTCTTACTCGTCTTGAATCTGGTTGATTTGATTATGAGTTGAGCTCAGCTCCACTTGTAATTGTTTCATCTCCCGTTCCCGACTACCAACCTCTTTCAGTCTCTCCTTCTCAAATGTGTCCTAGAAAGATACACACATCAAAAAAAAAAATAGTCAGAATACATGAAACAGCAGAGACAGACTGCACAAGGATTATGCTGAACAAAGAAAGTCAAACACGAAAGAGCATAAAATGTCCCATTCCCTTGCAGACAAAATTAACCTGGAATGATAAAAGTCAGAAGCGTGGTTGCCCTGGGGGCAGAGAGGCAAGCTTGGAAAGTGGCACAGGAATGCTCTGGAGTGATGGAAATGTTTTATATCTTGATAGGAGTGTGCGTTACCTGGATACATGCATTTGTCACTATTCATCAACCTATGGATGTCACTGTAGTTAAGTTATACCTTGATTTTAAAAACAGACATTTAAATATCATCCTATATATCTATACCCAGAATAACATGCATATGGGGTAAAAATTTCAAAAGCATTTAAAAATCTTCGGTGAGGGGAAGGGGGGAAATTGCTTAAAGACAAAGGATGGCTATTGTACTTTCCACATATACATTGCTCCTCGGGCTTATCATGTTTAATTCTCATAATGACTCTATTAGGCCAGCAAAAGCATTGTCCCCATTTAGCAAATGTGGACACTCAAAAATAAAGGTTAGGCAACCTCCGCAGGACTATAGAAGAGGGACAAGAATTCTGTCCAGTGATCTCCAAAGAAGAATCCTCCAGCCACTGCCTCATAAGGCCCTGTTGCTTAGAACAGTCTGTTTAACATGCTTTAATTTTGGAAAGAAATTTATGGAGATCCATGTAAGCATTTAAAATCAAGGTCACTAATGTCTTGCTTACCCACATATAATAATGTCAATGCCTTAAGCAAGGTATGTGTTCTGTTTCCAGTCTGATCTTCCCCCATTAAAGACACTGACACTGTCCATGGAAACCACCAAGATCAACCACCAATTATGAGACCCTTTGTCAGTCTACCAGAACTGAGCTTCCTTCTTATCTTGGAATTTTCCAATTAATTGTATTTCACTCTTTCAGAATAGAATGCTGAGCTTTCCCCATCTAATAATCTCTTTCTCTCCTGAACCCTTGGTACCCTGTCTGGAGGACTAATAGGTCATTTAAAAGTTACTATTTAATGACTAGTGTGGGCCAAGCAATGTCTCAGATGTAGATCATCCCCAGGCCCTTTTTATACCTGAGGAGGCTGAGGCTCATTGATTTGCCTAGCCATACCACTAGTAAGTAGGCCAAGCTGAGATTTAAATCCAGGTTTGTCTTAAGAGAAAATTCAACCTAATGTGCCCCATACTACAATAAACAGGAACTCGCCTTTTATACCCGAGTCCAGTGTATCTTGTGAATGTTTGAGCTCACAGAGCCTGACCATGGTGCTGAAAACCAAGGGGAATCCTTTAGCATTCTTACCTGTAGAGAGGGGACCTTGCTATCAATAGGCTTTCCCAGGGAAGCAGCGGTAAAGGAGGCCTCCAGCCAAGGCAAAAGGCGAGATTTGATTACTTCCACACCATCATAACGTCCTCCTAGAAGAATCCACAGACCAGGTCAGCGAGAGAAACCCAAGCACACCAACTCAGTCAGAGCGCACAGAGTAAAAGGGGTGGGAGCTGGATGGGAAAGCCGAGGCCGTTCTCACCTTCTTGAGCTGTTGTAGTGAGGATTCCAAAGAGTTGTCCCTGCATCTTGGCAACTTGTTCGATGAATTCCAGGCAATAACTTAGATTCTGATCACATGAGTTTGTCTGCAAAGCCAAAAGAGTAGGCATCAGTCTAATTCCTCACTCCCCCGGCAGGTAGACAAGGGCCTCTCTCCATACCGGGGCTGCCTGGCTCTGGGATGCTCCCAGAGGCAAACACGGCTGTGCATTCACCAAAACACAGTTGCCATGCCTCCAGGGCACACAGCTAGAGAGCTTCCCCCGGCTAGTTTGAGGGGCCGTGTAACCGCGTGGGTTCAGGTCCATGGGAAGGAAAGTGATGTGTGCCACTTTGGGGTATGACCCCGAAGAAAACCTCTTGAGGCATTCTCCCCTTTTTTGCTTGCCCCATCTGCCAGCCAATTGCAGAGGACCCCAAAAGCATAGCAGGTGGCAAAGCCACAAGATTTGGGAAGCTGCTAATTGAACCCTGACAATGACTGTTACATAATTGGGAAAGTGTATTTGTGGGTGTTGAACCACTGAGGTTTGGGAGTTATTTTAACATCGTTAGCCCTGACTCATTCATTACTCAACAGAATCCTGCAACAAGTCCTTTCATAAAGTGAATAAGCCTTTTATAACTGTACAAATCATTGCTCCCTAACTCATGTGTTTTATTGGTTCTTGTCCTCTACCTAAGTTCAGTATGTACATAAAGAACACTACTTGTTAACAGTAAACAGGTATTGCTGGGTTGAGGATAATGGAGAATAAGACAAAAAAAGATGAGCCAGGCCATATGGCACTTGCAGATGAGTGGGGGAGACAAAAGATAGACCAGTGGTCGGCAAACTCATTAGTCAACAGAGCCAAATATCAACAGCACAATGATTGAAATTTCTTTAGAGAGCCAAATTTTTTAACCTAAACTATATAGGTAGGTACATTGTTATTAACTTAATTAGGATACTCCTAAGCTGGCCTTTGCTAAAAATTCAAAGGGCCAAAGAACCACATGTGGCTCGCGAGCCGCAGTTTGCCAATGACCACTGAGATAGACAGTTATCCTGAGGTAAGATAGACAGTTATCCTGAGGTGGAATAGTAAGTCTTACCATGGGGTGAACTCAGGTCTACTCAAGAGCCCATTGTCTTCAAAAGTCAGAGAAGACTACTTTCCAAGAGGAAGTATAATCTAGGTGAGAAGAAAATAGGCAGACTAGGGGAAAGGGTTAGTTCAAGTGGCTGTGGAACATGGAAGCAGTAAGAGCAGAACATGAAGAAGCCACGAGGTAGGTCTTTTCGCTATTATTCTGCCCTTGTCATCGCCTTGGTGAGCTGCTACTATTTCTAGCTAAATCTTTAAGTGAGTCTAATACTAAAGAAAGGGACACAACTGTAAGCAACCAACCAATCATGTGGGTGTAAAAATGCATAGATTGATATGTCATCTCAAGCCGTTATAAGGCACTAGTAATCGCACTATAAACCCCGAGACAGAAAGTGTGTTACGAGGAGGATAGAAACTGGAATAAATAGGAAAATTTGAGATGAACTCTAGCCAAAAGTTGATAAGAAAAACGCGTATCGGTAGCACAAGGGAAGTGCCCTGTGGACAGAGGCTGTGCCTGCCCTGATCATTCACTGTTGTATTTCCAGCCCTGCACTCTAGTCTCTGTTTTATTCAAGCACAGTAAGTATTAGATGGGTGCATGAACATAAGACAATTCACTCATTTTGGATTTATTACATCCCTCCTAAGTGCCAGGCACTATTCATGCTTGTATTTATAAGCTCAGTTAAGGCCCATGATAGTACACTATAAGATAGAAGTACCATTGTTTTATTTCCATCTTCAGATGAGAAAACTGAGGTGCATAGAAGTTAAATAACTTGCCCAAGACTACTTAGCTAACAAAATGTCAGAACTGAGATCAGAACCTTAGCTGCCTAGTTTCAGATCCCATGCTCTTAACCACTAAACAATACTTTTATTTTGTTTTATTTCTCCTTTTTTATTGTTTTTTTCTTTATTGATTAAGGTATTATATGTGTCCTTATCCTCCTATTGCCCCCTAACTCCCACTCATGCCCTCACCACCACCCCCCTTTCCCCACCTCACCCCTACCCAGATATTGACCTTTAGATGGTGATTATTGCTGGGAGTAGAGGGAGGACTAGATGATGTGACGGAGAGGGAATGAGAAGGGTGGTTAGGGAAGGCCTCTCTGATGAGGAGACCCTAAGCTAAGTCCTAAATGCAGAGGTTAGAGAGGGAACGTGTAGGGTTGTGGGAATAGCAGGGGCAAAGGCCATATAACAAAAAGGAGTTTGGTAGCCTTTTGGTTCTCAAGGTTACCACAGGAGGCCAGAGAGGTTGGGGAGCCTTCCAACGAGTTTGGATAGGATGGACTCATCATTGCTTAGGGGGGCTGCCCGGTTTCTTTTCCATGCCTGGTAAATAATACTGGTGACGAGCTCTGTTGTAGCATTGGTTTCTGTTTTAGCCATTTGCTTCTCTGTCTCATCCTCTCTCCCTTTCTCCTAAGAAGACTATGTGTTTTTAAAACATGATTTTGCCTTTCTCATGTTTGTATCACTTGCTACTAGTATCCATAGCAAATCGAAGGGCCCAACACTATTTGATGGGTGAGTGAATAAATGAATGAGTGACTTAGCCTAACACTGAGTGGATTTGAACATTTGGAGTGCACAGCTTACACAGCTGGCGCCATTCCTTCCTTGTTGAACCAGCAGCTCCCTGCTCTTCCTGTGTAACTGCTGCACTTGTAACACTGACCTTCATTTCCCCTCTCAGTTCCCTGGCTAGACCATGCCATATGCTCAGGGTCATGCCAACCTGAAGGAGCGTCTCAGCTTTGCCACCTGTCACAGGTTCTATGTGATGCTGCCCAGGTTTCCTCTCTGAGCCCATTTCCTCTCCAGAGATAAGGATAGATAGTGCCTTGCAGAATGTTAAGAGAATTAAATCAAAATAATGCATATCCAGCACCTGAGACAGAAGTGTTCAACAGTTGGTGCCTTGAAGTGGCATGTGGTATTGAAAGGAGCAGTGGATTTAGGAACAAGGCAGACATTGGTTCAAATCTGGTTCCCCATTTACTAGTCATCTCCCCTCAGAACAGTGGTCGGCAAACAGCGGCTCGCGAGCCACATGCGGCTCTTTGGCACCTTGAGTGTGGCTCTTCCACAAAATACCACGTGCGGGCACGCACATACAGTGCGAGGGAAACTTCGTGGCCCATGCGCAGAAGTCGGTTTTTGGCTCTCAAAAGAAATTTCAATCGCTGTACTGTTGATATTTGCCTCTTTTGACTAATGAGTTTGCCCACCACTGCCTTAGAAAATAAATTTCAACTATGAGCCGCCGTTGTTTGTATTTAGGAGCTGGTTGACCTCATGAGCTAACTTAGGTGCAGAATAGAGGAGATACACAATAATTAAAAGTATTATTATGGTATCGTTACTATACTAGAGGCCCAATGCACGAAATTCATGCAAGAGTAGGTCTTCCTTCCCCCAACTGCCTGCACGGACTTCCCTCCATCACTGGGACCCCAGCTTCTCTCACAGCCCCAGCTTCATCCAGAAGATCGCCTGGAAGGACGTCCAGTCTAATTAGCTTATTACACTCTTATTATTATAGATGCTCCTTTGCCTTGCCCAGTGCCTGGTATAAGTACGCGCTCAAGGGAATGTTTGCCAAATGTTTGTCTGCACAACTTAAATAACAAAGAGAACATACCATCAGTTCCTGTTCTCAAGACCTGTCACAACTCGCCGCAACTTCTTACACAAAGCATTGCCCAAGATACTCAAGTTCCAATAGGATCGCATTACCAAACATGTACTCACACAGGTAAATAAAATACATGTATTTCCTAATTATCCCGTCTCCTAATTCCAAAGCACCAACTCTCAAAATTCCTTCCTTCATAAATCATTGAGTTTCTATTGGATGGAAGGACTTGGGCTGGCAGCTCAGGACACAACACCATATTAAAAATAACTAAAAATTCAGAAAAGATGCCTGCTGTTAATGAGCTCACCGGCTGGAGAGGCGGGAGGGAGGGTGGGAAACATACCTGGGTTAAATAATTACCTTACAAGTTGATTAAGGGTTCTGGGTGGATAGTGAGCTGCTGAATGGGGCAAAACGCACACTGGTGATGGGTGAAGGGTAAGAGGTTAGGGCAGTGGTCAGCAAACTGCGGCTCTTGAGCCACAGGTGGCTCTTTGGCCTCTTGAGGGTGGCTTTTCCACAAAATATCACAGCATGGGCGAGTCTATTTTGAAGAAGTGGCATTAGAAGAAGTTTAAATTTTAAAAATTTGGCTCTCCAAAGAAATGTCAATCGTTGTACTGTTGATATTTGGCTCTGTGGACTGTTGAGTTTGCCGACCACTGGGTTAGGGCATTTCAAGGGGAGAAACAGCAGGTCACAGGGCAAGAAACAAGGTATATGACAGGGGAAAGTGGAATTCAGAAATGAATTCCGGGGACCAAATAGCGAAGGACTCTATTTGTCACATGGCCTCTTGGCTTCATCCCTGAAAGATTTAGCAGGGTAATAAAGAAGCATGGGTATAACATAGTCAGATTTGCTTTGCATTTCACAAAAATCAACCTGGTAGAAGCAGACTCCCTAGAGCACATGTGTCAAACACAAGGCCGGCGGGCCAAATCCGTCCCGCCAGGCCTTGCAATGTGGCCCGCACCGTGCTGTCATCACTGCACTCCACTGCGTTTCCATCACAATGACAGTTTATGACTGTTCAGTAAACCATTCGGCCCGCGATTTAGGCTGGATTTTAGATTTTGGCCCCTTCTCTGATTGAGTTCGACACCCCTACCCTAGAGTTTGGATTACAGAGTCTGCTGGCAGTTCTAACATCTGGCTGATGAATGTTGAGGGCTGTGGAGATGCCAACAGTCCACTAAAGGTCCTTCTGGGCCTCATGTCACACCTGGGTCTACACCTAAGGTCCCGCTGATGCTGTCATTACCCGAGGAGGACATTGGGAGGTTTGGAAACAAGTAAGAGGTATAGGGATGATGCTGAGTGGGGACAGGTTAGGGGGTCTGCAGGACCTTCAGAGGGAGATGTCCAGTCATAGGGCCTAACAATTATTCTGAGACTTTGTAGCAAGGAGGCACTTTTAAAAAGGGAACAGGGAGAGGGGGGCTAAGGCCTTTGTGATAAAGAGGTAAATCTTCATTTCCTGCAGTCTTGGAGAAGGAATTGTCAGAGTGGGTTCTTTAAAAGAGGACAAAGGGGATAAACGCTAACACTAGGAAGGCAGGCCCAGGGGAATGCTATGGTTGTTCTTGGATTACCCACGCACCCTGGGAGCTCTGATTAAAGGGTGAGTGGGAACGCCTAAGGGATGCAGGATGGCAGCCGGTTGCATTTTCCTGTGGGATTTTAGAAACAAGCTGATGTAGACTCAACAAACTGAGAACTTTATGTGTGATCTAGTCCAGTCTCTCCCCTTTAACTGGCACCCAGGGCGGTTACATAAACGGCCGGGTCATTCAGTTAGTACCAAGCAGAACCAGACCTAGAACCAGACCTAGAACCTAGGGGTGCTGAATCCGGGTCCCCAGCTCTGTCTGCCTCCCGGTTAGTTCTACTTGCTATTAAGAGTGGAATCTTAGTTAAGACGGACGGACCAAATATAAAGTAAATTCAGCAATGGAGTTCGTGGGGCAATGGGAGCCCCCGTGGGGATTGAGGGGGGGGAGGGGGGTAAAGACTTGGAGATCGCTCTGGGTTTGCTGACAGAGTATTGGCCTCTGACAGACGCCCAGACAACAGCCTTTCTGAAGTCCGCCTTGGTGTTAAAGCTGCGAATACAGGCCATGCCAACCTACATACCAGTGAAACCCACAATGTTGAGGAGTGACCATTTCACTCACTTCTGGGTAATAAATACTGGGTGTGTTCTTTAAGAAAAATCTATTCTGATGTAACTCCTGGGTATCCTTCTAGTGGGAAACTTTCGGAGAAGCAGGGGTTGAAATGTAGTAAAAAAATAATTCTAATAATAAAATTAAAAAAAAAAAACAACTTTCGAGGTGATAAGGAGGTGGGTTGCTGGTGAGATGCCCACAGGGAGGTGGATTGCTGGCGGAAGGGACATGAGGGAACACGAAGGGCTTGACCTTCAGACCCCTGACAGATCGCCGGCCTTCCCGGTTGCTAGCTGCCAGCGTCCTTGGTTACCACTCAGGGGGGCTGCGCTCCCTAGAGCTCCACTCCGGAGCGCATCCGCAGCGCCACCTCGCGTCGCGGGAAGAAAAGGGCGCCGCCAGCAGACACCTGTCGGTCCTTCCTTCCCCGCGTCCCGGGTGCGTGGCTGGTAGGGATCCCCATCACCGGGGCTTTGCAAAAAACCGGCCCCCCGACGCCAGGCCTCACCAACCCCGGCGGCGGCGGCGGAGGGCTGCGTAAGGCGCCCGAGGGGCAGCCAGCCCAGGCTCTCCCTCGCCGCCCACTCACGTTGTAATCCCTCTGCCAGCGCTCCAGGTTCTCGTACATGGTGCGTAAAAAGTCGTTGGAGACCAGTTTCCTCAGGTTTTCCGCCATCGCTGGTTTTTGTTTTTGTTTTTCCGCCCGGCCCGGCTCCGGGAGATGGAGACTTGGAGGGAACGGATCGGGGGACGAGGCGGGAAGGTGTTGGTGGTGTTCCTGAGGGGCTCAGAGTTGGGCCGATGTTGTTTCCATCTCCCCCCGCTCGGGTGTGACCGGGCCGGGTTTGGGAAGCCGGGGGGAGGTGCCCTGGGCCGCAGCCTCCGCGCGCCTCACCCGCTGCCCGGCGCGGTGTCCTGGCTCCCCCGCCGCCCGCAGCGAGCCGCGGCCCTAAATACCCGGGCGATTATTGGACAAACCCTGACGTGGGCGGGCGGTTGCTAGGGACGCGCGCCCCGGGCGCCCAGGCAACGCCGGGGCCGCCGCCCAGGCCCCCCCCCCCCCCCCCTCTGCGACCTCCTCCCTCCCCGCTTGCCCTCCTTGCCCTCCGCCCCGCAGCCCTCCTGCTGTCCCCCGGGGTCCGGGACACCCTCCGAAGGCGTGCCATGTGGCTGCTCCTGCTGCTGCTCCTCCTGCTGCTGCTGCTGCTGTTGCTGCTGGCGGAAGGCGAGTGGGCCCTGAGCTGCAGATCCTCCAGGCAGGTTGGGGCTGGGGCTGGAGGATGCCAAGACCACATCTGGATGGCAGCTGCTGCGCGGGACCGGCCCGCCGTGCGGGGTGGAGGGCTGGGGGCCCGAGGAAGGCCCCTTGTCTGAAAAGAGCAAAGGTTCCTTTCCGTCAAAGGTTCCTTTCCCGTCGAAGTGTTCGGTCAGGAAAAAAGCAAGTTTGGCTCCCTCTTTTTCCTTCCACTTCCCAGGCTTTTCATTCTTGGTCTGTAACACCTAGGGCTTACCTGGAAGGAACTAAAATGTCAATGCTTCCCTCTTCAGTCTTTTGCAATGTTCCATGGCCCCCTGGGTGCGGGTGCCCAAGTCATTCGATTTTTTTAGTTCGAGGATGTTCACAGTTTAATCCCTCAGGGTTGGGCCAGATTTTGGTAGTGTATTTTTTTTAAATATATATTTTTATTTATATTTTACAGAGAGGAAGAGAGTGGGATAGAGAAGCTAGAAACATCGATGAAAGAGAATCATCAATCAGCTGCCTCTCGCAGACCCCCTACTGGGGATGTGCCCGCAACCAAGGTACATGCCCTTGACCAGAATCGAACCCAGGAACTTTCAGTCCACAGTCCGAGGCTCTATCCACTGAGCCAAACCGGTTTCAGCTTTGGTAGAGTATTTTTTAGACTCCTTGGGCACTTTCAGGTTTCACTGAATTCTGAATTCTCCAGTGGAGACTCCATGGAAGTTCAGACCTGGTTTGACACTGTTTCAAAAGGAGGTAGTGAGCCACTGTGGGTAGGTTGAACTACTTAAGAAATGGAACCATTTCAACCTTCGTTAAGCACTTTAGAAGCCCTTATTTTGCATGCCATCAAGTGACATATCAACTGCAAATCATCCTCATTTACTCACTGAAACAGTAGGAGCAGGGCAGGACCTCAGCTTGCTATATACTTTAATTCAGTTCCATTTCCTCAGGTACTTGAAATTAAATGTATGTGTCCAAATACCATAAAATTCAGAATTTTGATCACCTCTTGTTTTTATTTCTCTTCATTACGGTGGTTTCATTGTTCTCTAATAAAAAATGAGAGGCTCATTTCTGGGACCAGTGTTCCTACTATTTTCTGTAGAACACAAAAATAAAGACTCTGAGGGTATATAGCACATATTATTTCATCACTGTAGAATAATTACTAAATAAAAAAATCATAAACATCCTGTTAAAAATTTATTAGACACTCTCTTCCTTGAAAAGAATATAAAGGAGGACAAAGAATGAAGAAAAAATTTACAAGTTTCTTAATTTGGAACCAATTTTATATTTTAGTAGGCAACTGGCATCTTCAACAGTCCTATTTACATATTCATAAAAAACAAGTTGAAATATTATGTCAGATTAGGGATTAAATCATCTTCCTTTAACTGCTAATTCTTGGTTTCATCATCTTTAAGGAGGGATGATAGTTCTTACTTCACTTTATATGATACTAAATAATTCATGTCAATTACTTAGAGCACAGTGCTTGGCATATACTGTCAGTGCTTCATAAATGCTGTATCACTACCACTACAAATGTAGATCACAGTATTACTATATTTTTTATTGATTTCAGATAGGAAGGGAGCAAGAGATGGAAACATCAATAATGAGAGGAAATCATTGATTAGCTGCCTCCTGCATGCCCCCTACTGAGGATCGAGCCCACAACTTGGGCATATGTCCTTGATCAGAAGGGTCCCAGCCTGGGACCCTTTAGTCCACAGGCTGATGCTCTCTCCACTGAGCCAAACCAGCTAGGGCCACAGTATTATATTTAATGGGGATAGTTAGGTTGGGAAACATCTAAATCTTCAACAATAGGATTCAACAATGATTATTTTGCAACAACCATTGAGTGATTGTCTTCAACAATCATTCAATGAAATGTTGCACAATAAAAATCTATGATCAAAGAATATCTAGCATCTAAAAATTCTTACAATATAATGCAAAGTAGAAAAAGCAGGATATCAAATGTCACTTATATTGTGTAATATTATGCAATGTGAACGCCAGGTATAACTATGTTGACTTTAATTTGCTCCTTTATACCTTTCTCGTTTTCCAAATTTCTACCAGGAATACAAATTGCTTTTATGAAACTTAATCAGAAACAAAGTTACCCAAGAATTTTAACCACTCTCAGAAAAATGTTAGCTGAAATATGAATATTTAATCTGAATCAAAACAGAATATGCTTTGAGCAAATGTCCATATTACTAAGTTAATAACTAAACTTATAGAGTCCTAGGATAGAATGCATCTTTGAAATCACTTAAGAATATGCTACCTGCCGAAACCGGTTTGGCTCAGTGGATAGAGCATTGGCCTGCGGACTGAAAGGTCCCAGGTTCAATTCCAGACAAGAGTATGTATCTTGGTTGCAGGCACATCCCCAGTAGGGGGTGTGCAAAAGGTAGCTGATCAGTGATTCTCTCTCACCGATGTTTCTAACTCTCTATCCCTCTCTTTTCCTCTCTGTAAAAAATCAAAAAAAAAAAAAATATATATATATATATATATATATATATATATATATATATATATATTTTTTTTTTTTTTTTTTTTTTTAAGAATATGCTACCTGATATTACTTATCTCTACAGTGCTCTAGCCACACTAGTTTCAACCCGCTTAAGGTCTGTAGTAATTTTGTACTCTTGGTTTCCTTAGAACTCTGGAGTGTGGTGGTGCATAGTAGAAACTTTTTATTAATAACAAAGAAGCATAGCCTGGCCCGCGTGGCTCAGTGGTTGATGTTCAACCTATGAACCAGGAAATCACAGTTCAATTCCTGGTCAGGGCACAAGCCCAGGTTGCGTGCTTGATCCCCAATGTGGGACGTGCAGGAGGCAGTGGATCAATTGCTCTCTCTCTCATCATGGAAGCTTCTATCTCTTCCTCTCCCTTCCCCTCTGAAATCAATAAAAATATATCTTTAAAAATTAACTCTTTAAAAAAAAAAACAAAGAAGCATAGCACTCAGTGAGTCAAAACAAAGAAAATGTTTTAATTAATATTCATAATTTACCCCCACTACTTCCAAAAAAAGGATCTGAAATGGTTTACAGTAAAAGACTTGTAGAAAATATCATTGTTATTTTTTAATGGAAAAGCAAAATTGAACATCGATCTATGAGCCAGGATGCCATGGTTCGAGTCCAGGTCAGGGGCACCTGCCAGGGTTGCTGGCTCAAGCATGCAGGAGGCAGCTGATTAATGATTTTTCTCTCATTACTGATGTTTCTATCTCTCCCTCTCCCTTCCTCTCTGAAATCAATAAAAATATATTTTTTTAAAAAGCAAATATGCCCCAAATATAAGCCTATATGGTAAGATTGAGCTGTATTTTACATTTATTTCTGAGCTCTGTGGAAGCCAAAGCAGAAAAGAAAATGAGAGTTATGAATGGTGACTTTTAAAATATAGATATCAGTTCTTTGAATGTAAATTCATTTTCTAAAGTATGTTTATTCTTTTTCAAAGAGTCTAGACAACAAAGATGAAGGTCTCTTTAACAACCCCCTACCTTAAAAGAAAATATAGGAACAATCCTCATGTGATTGTTTCTTGCAGTCACCTTCCATCGATGCCAAAGGGGTAATACTGGGACATATGTCATCATTCTGGAGAAAGGAGCTGTGCGTAGATAATTAAATAGGAGTCCAAAGATGAAAGATATTTTTGAAAGGCATTGGGGGGTCATAGGAGCTTCAGCTAAAAGGAATTGAAGACTCCTCCTTGGCCAAGGATCCGTGCTTTTATTCAACATAATTTATCCTAAGGCAAGGTGGAAATATGCACTTCAAAGGGCGAGGTAACAAAGGGTACAGAAGCATTACCAGTTTGGGGAACAGCCTACAACTGTTCAGGTGTTTGGCCCACAGGAGGCAATAAAATGCCCTGAGCTGTCTGGCAACAGACAATGATCCTATTCAGGTTTTGGGGAAGTGCCGTTTAGCCCTTTAGCCGTTTCCAACAGGTAAACTACTATGTGGCCTTGTTGAGCCACCCAAGTCCCATTAACCTTTTGATGGAACTCTAGTAATTATTACATGCTGGAATTGGTTCTTGGCATCAGCACCCCTAATCCCCATTTTGCTCAAGGGTCAACTGTAGTTCTTTCTCCAGTGGGTGGGTTTTTAAAAACATGTTTCCCTTCCAGTGTGACAGAGAACAAGGACCAAAGGAAGCTGGTAAACTGAGGACCTCGAACTGTCAGGTGACAGAACACTGAGTGGGCACATTAGTGCTTTACCACCTGCAAGGAGACGCTGTGCCTTAGCATACCACCAGGAAACACTGACTTTAAAGGAAACTTCATGCAGGCAGGGCCCTGACCCAAAGGAACAAGCTCTTAACGCAGGCAGCTGAGGACCACGAGTGGCACGGCACACACAGAAGAGAATCGGGGGCGCCTGAAAAAGCATCCAGACCAGAGCAGAACAGGTTATTCTTTAGCTACACCGTCCTGAGTGGGAAGAACGGGACATCTGATAAGAATCCCATCATCGATCTCTGTGGCTTATTGCCTATATTCATGTTCGGTATAGCATGAAACTACATACATAGCTCTCACATCACCGAGTGATTCTGTTAATCTTTCATTGGCTTCTTCAAATCCCAAATTAAAAATGTCTCCCACTGACCAATGAAAGGTAAAATTCAGAGTGGATGGAAATTAAGGACATTCAGAAGCTTATTCCATCCAGATGTTCCATGCATTGCATTCTCTAGAACAAATGGTTTCTGGCTGGGTGAGAGAATTATGATGCCATAGAACACCAACTGGCTATTACATTTGTT